TGGCCCAGCCCCCATTCCTCACTCCCAGCCTAGGCACACGATGTACACTCACTCATGAGCAGTCATGCCTTCATCTCTGGGGGGAGGCTGGATCACACCCTGCTGCATCAACTGCCTCTCCTCCCCTGCGGGTGGGGATAGCAGTGTCCTGGTCCCTAGAGTCTGGAAGGCATGTCCATCTCCCCCATGCAGTGGTTGCAGTAAGGGCTCCAGCTGGCTCTGGGCCAAGGGCAGGGAGGTGGGCCATGTCATGTCACCAGAGAGCAGATTATCCTCCCAGTTAATCTCGGGAGCAAAAGACCCCAACTTCTGGTGCCCTGTAAAAAGTGGGGTAGGGGTGCCTGGGTGGCTCAGTCGTTAGGCATCTGCCTTCCGCTCAGGTCAGGATCCCAGGGTCCTGGGATCGAGTCCCGCATCTGGCTCCCTGCTTCTCCCTCTCCCACTCCCCCTGCTTGTGTTCCCTCTCTCGCTCTGTCAAATAAATAAATAAAATCTTTAAAAAAAAAAAAAAAAAAGTAGGGTAGACAACTTTTGTGTACTCTCTGCCAACCCGGGCAGGGAATCCAAGGAAACTTGGGAGAAGCAGCTCTGCACCCCTCATTGACGGTGAGGCCCCTGGGGAGAAGAGGTGAGGCCGTTGGTGGCAGGCCACACACTGCCATGTCCGCTCTAGCCCCGCTCTTGCTTCCTCCTCTCACTCCTTTCAGGGCAGTGAGTAATCAAGACAGATCTCCAGGAGGTTCCTGGCTGATGAGAAATGTCTAGATGTAGACATATTCCTTCAATCTAGTGGGCCCGTGCCCAGGAGCCCAGCAGGAGGTCTGGGCCGCTGAGGGCGCTGTCACTCCCCTCCTCCCCACCTCGGAACCAAAGCAGAGAGGCCAGGTGCCTGCTGCACTCTCTTGGGGGGCAGGTTCCAAGAGGCAGTGGGTCTGATGAAGAGTGGCAGGCAGCTCTGGACTCACCGTCTCCTCCTGCATAGGGATTCAACTTGGTGTCATCTTCAAAGAGAAGAAGAGAAGGCATAAAGTTAGTGGAATCATTATGGCCTTGGTCACTTTAGGTCCAGATGGGATTTTAGGGAGGTTTAGTCCAACCCTGCATTTTACATGTTGGTTTTTTTTTTTTTTTTTTTGTAAAGATTTTATTTGAAAGTAATCTCTACACCCAACGTGGGGCTCAAACCCACAACCCTGATATCAAGAGTCTCACGCTCTACCAAGTGAGCCAGCCAGGTGCCCCTAATCCTTCATTTTAGAGGCAAAGAAGCTGAAGCACAGAGAAGGGAGGTGACTTGCTTAAAGTCACACAGCAGTGTAATGGTGGAAGTCCACCAACAAGCCAACTTTTCCTAGTCTCGTGTTCATTCATTCAAGCAATATTTATTGGATGTTTACTACGGAGTTGAGCCCTGGGAGTAGGCACTGGGGTTTGACATGGTCTCTGCCCTCAGGGAGTTAACAAGTAGGGGAGATGGAGTGACAATTAAAACCCAGCATACTGAAGCTCTGATTGGGGGCCTCACCCAGACAAAGGGTGTCGAGACGGAGGGGCGAGACGTGGGGCAGGGGAAAGTGTTCCAGACAGAGGAAGAAGCATGAGCAAAGGCCCAGAGTCAGCAAGGATTTGGCCAGGTGGGGATAAAAAGCAGTGCCGAGTAGCTGGAGGGTGGAGAGGGTGTGAGTGGGGTGTGGTGAGAGATGAGGCTGGGGGTGGGGTGGGGGTCCACGAGACCAAGGTGAGGACCTGGCACGTTCTCCTACGGGGCGCCAGGAGGCTGAGGAAGGCCTGAAGAGGCTCGAAAGCAGCGATCTTGTGTCACAGATGCAGTTCTGCTTGAAGACCTCCCCTGGCACACAACTGGAGGAAAGATTTCCACACCGCAAGGGGTGTGTCCTATGGCTTCCTAAATAAGTTCCAATGGTTGACCCTCCCTATGGCTCTTCCCCACCCGGATAGAGATCAAGACCTGAGCCAAAGGCAGACACTTAACTGACTGAGCCACCCAGGCGCCCCAAATAAAATCTTAAAAAAGGGGGGGGGGGCGCCTGGGTGGCTCCGTCGTTAAGCGTCTGCCTTCAGCTCAGGTCATGATCCTGGGGTCCTGGGATCGAGCCCCGCATCGGACTCCCTGCTCAGCGGGAAGCCTGCTTCTCCCTCTCCCTCTCCCCCTGCTTGTGTTCCCTCTCTCGCTGTGTCTCTCTCTGTCAAATAAATTTTTTAAAAAAGTTTTTTTTTCAGCACCAAGAAAAGCAGTCGAGGGGCAAGATCGCTGCTTTTGAGCCGAATGAGACCTGACTCCTCCTCTTCTGGCTATGTGACCCTGGGCAAGTCACTGACCTCCCTGAGCCTTAGTGTGTCCTCTGTGAAATGGGGATACAAAAGCATCAACATGCAGGATTGTTAGGAGGACCAAGTGAGTGTTGATGCCTGCACAAGGTTAGCATATGGTCAGGACCCTCAGTAGCTCGTGAGGCGCCTGGGTGGCTCGGTTGTTAAGCGACTGCCTTCAGCTCAGGTCATGATTCTGGAGTCCCAGGATCGAGCCCTGCACTGGGCTCCCTGCTCAGTAGGAAGTCTGTTCTCCCTCTGCCCCTCACCCTGCTGGTGTTGTTCTTTCTCTCTCTCAAATAAATAAATAAAATCTTTAAAAAAAAAAAAAAGTTAGCTCGCCTATCATGTGCTCCCTCGTCTAGGACTTCCTTCTGTCCAGACCCATGGGTCCATTCTCCAGTTCTTTAGGCTGCAGTGAGAAAGGCAGGGGGCACCGTGGAAAGAACATTCCACAACTTACTTTTCAGGTAACCCCAAGTAACCAACTTTGCCCCTACGAGCCTGTTTCCATAGCTGCCAAATGGGATGGTGGCTGAATAATGTTTTAAAACATTTGCCTTTTTCTCTTCTCCTTTCCTCTGTTCCATTTGCCCCTTCCAAGCAGGTACGTGGCTCCATGGAGGTGGTACGAGCCCACGTCTCTCAGTCTGAGCCTAAGGGCAAAGGGCTAAAACCTGGCGGTCATGTATTGATAAAGGGTGAGAGAGAAATTTTTCAGAGACGGCCAAAGAATCCCGGAGGGGTCTGCACCAGGCTTCCCCAGATGCCATGTGGTACCTCCGGGTGGACAGACCTCCCCGCAGCTTCAAGACCCCCAGGCCTTGGGATGGCAGAAGCCCCTGGGGTGAGGGGTGGGGCAGCCAGACCCCGGAGAGGTGGGCACGGAGCAGCGGCAACCCTCTTGGATACAGCTGCCCCACTCTGACCCTCTGTCCACACCAGGTCCCAGGAGCAGGAAGCCAAGCGGAGGTGCACCCCTCCAGCTGCGTGAGCATCGAGAGCCAGAAGCACAGTTGTAGAAAAATCAGGCAGTCTTTCGCTCACGTCTGAGTGTGTGGACTGAGTTCATACCTGCCACAGGGCTGCTAAGACCTCCCGGATTCTGTGGGGATGCTACTAAGATGACCTGGGGTGGACCATATCAAATACCGGGCCCTGGGCTGGGACGTTCATGTTCCTCCCCTCGCCACAGTGAATCCGTCCCACCGTCCTGACGTGGGCCAGCACCTGGCTCTGCCTCTCCCCGGCAAGCTGGGGACTCCAGCTCTCTGAGCCTCGGGGCCCTCCTCTGCGAAAGTCGGGGCCACTCGTCTTCCCTGAGATCCCCCCTGTCAGGGATGGTTGTGATGCACCAGGGCCCGAGCCTGTCCCTTCCCCGTGGCTTCTTGCCCCTGCTGCTCCCCGCCTGGGCTCACGACTTACCTTCCGTGGTGAGGCTGTCGATGAAGAGGGAGGAGGAGGTGGTGGTGAGGTCTCCTTCAAGGGGACTGAAGGAGCTGTTGGGGGAGGCCGAGGAGTGGCCTTCGTCCTGGAAGTCCTCACACATCCGGGGCTCTGCCTGCAGGAGAGACCCGGCACCGCTGGGCACAGACACCGCACAGAGAAGAGCCTTCCCCTGGGGGGACGGAGGGGGCCCCTTCATCCCCCAGCGGCCAGAAACCTTCAGATGCCGGCGCATGGTTCAAGTGTGGCGAACTCACCCGAGCTGGGCCCTGAGTGCATTTACGCCTTCCACTTTATCCTGAAAGTGCCTTGTCTACCTTACAAGGCAATTTAGCTGTCCGCTGCTTCGAATCCTTCCTCCAGGAAGGAGCTGAGATGCCAATCTTAAACAAATGGAGCAAATCCGTACATTCACCACAGCCAGCGTCAGAAGTGGGCTGCTAGATAAGATTTTTTTTCAGGACACAGAAGGCTCATCTGGCCTTACTAATAACAGAGGAGGTGGTGAGCGCAGAGAGTGGGGTCTGGGGGGGAGGGTTATGTTTAAATGTGGGGCCTTGGCACTTCCATATCCCACCAGTTGTGAGAGGCAGCTCAAGTCATTAAATCTCTCTGTGCCTCAGTTTCCCCGCTCTGAGCAGGGGGGCGGGGCACCGGCCCCCAGCTCCTGGGGCTGTTCAGATTAAAGCAGAGCAAGTGTGGGGCAGCATGCAGTGGGGTGCTGGGCGCACGCACTGGGCACACACTGCAAGAAGGGCTGGAGAAGACAAGGGAGAGGAAAAGGGCGCACGGATGAATGGATCTGTCTGAGTCGGTATAAGGTGTAACAACAGGACACTCCCCACCCAGAATCAAAGTGTTGAGCATTCTGGAAAACTCCAGCAGTGAGAAGGAACCTATGTGGGATTCTAAATGGGAGGTGCCTGGAACAGTCCTCCTCCGTCCCAGAAAAGCCTGGCCTCCCAGAAGAGCCTGAGGAGCCTGAGGACTGGAGCCAGGGCAAATGCCCCGAGAATGTCACCAGCCTCCGAGAGGATCCAGCTGTGGCCAGCACCATGCCCAACGTACCCTCTGCAAACACCAAAAGAGCTCCTGGAGAGCTGCCCACCCAAGGCCAAGCCACCAGAAGTGTTTTTCTCAGAGACCAGAAAACCCTCTAAAATCTCCCAAGTCTTCTAACTGGCTCAGAGCAGTCTGAGAGTCCCAGATGAAGGGGAGAATTTCGCCAAGAGCCAAAGATGCCCTGCGAAGAGCTACGGCGGGAGGGGCCCGCTGGCAGCCTTATGGTTCCCCACACCCCGGCTCGCTGAAGCTTCTCACCTCCTGGGCACAGCCGTAGGCCAGCCACTCCTGTCGGTAGCGATCAAAACCACTGGAGCATCTGCCAGGGGACCAGAAGGTAAGAGGTGTGATGGGCTGACAGAGAAGCCCTCCCCTTCACTGCCCCCATTCAGTAACAGCTCTCCGATGATGGTGAGGAGGGGGCCGACCTCCCAGGACTGCAGTGATCAAGACCACTGGGCAGGGGCCATCTTCAGCACCAGGCAGCTGTGGGATCAGCAGTCAGACCCTTCTTCCCCAACTACTCCTTCCCCAAAAGGAAGGGAACGTGTCTGTGGCATCCCTACCCTCCTTCGGACCCCGCTCCCCAGGACCAAGGCCACATCTACCCACATGTGTGTGTAGAGGGAGCTAGATGCACTGCATGACCTCAAATGAACTTTGAGATCCTCTTGGCTCTAGGTTGCTATGGAATTGCTGAGAATCCAGGGAATTCACACAAATGTCTTCTTGGGAAAGCCTTGCTTATTCACAGACAATCCGCCTCTTTCTTTGTGGAGGGGCCTAAACTTGACAAGGAGAGGTAGACATCAGCAGAGTTAGCCAATGTCTCCTGTGTGATCACTAAAGGGCAGAAATGAAGCTCTTGCCAGAGGCTAGGAGAAATTAAAAACCTGGCTGGTCAGTGTCCCAGGAAAGGACACTGTGCAGCTCAGCTGGGCTGGAAGATGCCAAGTGCCTCCCGAGGGAAGGGGTGGGGGTATGAGGATGAGTCAGGGAATGTTCTCCATGGCATCATGCTCAAATATCCCTTCTTCACTCTGGTGCCAGAGGAGTCCACCAAGCCCAACTCAAGCTCTGGGACATGTGCATGGGAAGAATAATATCATGAGCCACCACTGCTGAGAAAGGATTCATGGCCAGTTAATTTTCTTCACTAGCAACCGCCCACCCATCTGCCAGAGACCTGGTAAGGCGGAGGATTTCTGAGCACTGTCAGTGTTTCCTTCTGAAGATGCCCCCTCGGGCTCCGAGCTGCTTCTCCTGCAGCAGGGGGAGAACTAAGCCATCCCCACTCCCCCACTCTCAGGTCCTCTGTGCCCACTACTTTGGGGCATGGAGGATTAGGGTTCTCTTGGGGGCTGGGAGCTAAAGTTTCTTTTTAAGCCAAACTAACTGATTCTTTCAAGGACTGAACCTTTGATGTAAGTCTAAGAACATCACATTCTAAGACCTGAGCCAACCAACCCAGATGCAGAGAAGAAAGGCCTGAGATATGGCCACTAATGAGCGCCTCCTGAATGCCAAGTGCCGCCCCAGCCATATGCTGCTCCTGTCCTGTTTCATGGGACCCTCCCAGTGACACTGGAAAGCAAGGATTATGGCCCCTCATTCCCTGGGCCAAATCCTGGAGTCACCCCAAGACTCCAGAGTGGGCCCTTGGCGGGGTGGGGGCAATGTGGGATGAAAGGAAGACAGCGGCCATGGTAAGTGAAATTGTCGAAATCAGATCCAGCCCCAGCGCAAGGAAGGGAAACTCTGGGAGGCTGCGGAAGGCAGAGTGGGTGGAGAGGAAGGGGAAGCTGAGAACCCACAAGGTGATTGCAAGCAGCTGTTGGTGGGAGAGTCCCTGATGGCCGGCCCCTCGGCACCAGCCCTGCCCTCTGGCTCTGTAGGGACCTGGGGTCAGCTCTCAGTGGATGCCAAGGCTCCAGAGGGCTGGCAAGGAGGGGCCCATGCTGGGGTGAGCCCAGGCCCATGGGCATCGGGGGACAAGATCTCGGCCCCACATCAGCCTCACTTGCTCTGTGCTGGAGCTTCTCCATCCCGGAGCGGACATGACCACACAGCAAACGCAGTGTCCACACTCAAGTCCTTGCCCTCCCCCAACCTGACCAACCCTCATTAAACAGTCACGGTCTCTGGGTTTGGGCGTATGTGTTAAATGAGGATGTGTCAGTGTGAGGGTTTTGCTTTCATCTGACCCATTTTGAAGCTCTCATGGCTCAGCTCTGGTTGGATGCTGAGTCATGCGGTGGCAGCCGGCCCCAGGGTTCCAGGGGTCATCTGAGCTCATCTGGACTATCTCTCCACGCTGAGACAGTGGCTCACAACTTGAGCGTGCCCGAGGTGGACCAGGCAGCAAAGCTGCATTCCAGGACGGACCAAGCTGGGGTCTACCCTAGGTATTCTCTCGAGGCTCCATGCCTTTCGTGCACAGGGCCCTGCACACTTTGCAAAAATGCTCTTTGGTAGTTGAGAAATTAAAATGATGACATGTTCTTCACCATTTTTCCCCGGGGCCACATCACCACAGCCCATTTTATGGGGAAAATAAACTGAGGCCCCAAGAGAGTGAATAAGAGCACAGCTGGTGGGAAAAACACACAGGAGCCCCTCTCTTCCCAGCCCGGGCTGTGCCCTGTGCTGGGCAGGCCGCCTGTGAGGGCGGCAGCTTCTATTTCTGCACCGGGATATTTGAAAGGAGCGAAGGAAACGCTGACAGATGCCCCACAGCTGCGTGGAACGCAGACTCTGTAATTTGCAATTTTCAAGATTGCCTCGTAGGCTCTTGGAGTTCATAGGGCTTCCCACTCTCATGAGAGCCCAAGTCCCCAGAGAAATTTTTTTTTTCCCTCCCTGCTATTTATTTATTTTGGACGGAAGAACAGGGCTCGGATTCTGAGTCTAATCTGTGAGGAAATGATTTCAGAACAAGGAATGGAAGATGAGTTGTATTTAAGAACTTTATCCCTGAACCCGAATCTCATCCGGAATTTTTGCCTGTTTCCAAAACCAAGCAAACACAGCTTTGTAGCCCGCCCCAACCTTCCACAGATGCCTGCAATTTCCATAGCCCCGATTTTCAGGAAACCCCATTACAGCCTGACAAAGATCTTAAGGTGGGGTCATGGGGCTCTCATCCAATGGCAATGGGACTTTGGAGATGGCAGGTCTCACGCTTGTTTGCAGATGAGGCACCATGTTGAGATGCAGGCTCCTGGGCTTCCCTCCCAGAGATCCTGATCCAGGGTAGGGCCCAGGAATCTGCATATTTGACACAAGACCTAGCTGATTCTGGGATCCTCACAGCTGTGGGCCATTCTCTGAGAAGCCCTGCCCTAGGATGAACCGACCCTTCTGGGGTGTGAAGAGGAGCTGCCGTAGATGGGATCCCTGGATGGTCTTCCAGAAACCTAGCGTCCGCACAGGGACCCTGCTACACAGTCACCTTGATCGGTCGCAGGCCTCAGGGAAAAACTCACTTCTGCGACATTCTTGTCCTAGGGGGCACAGTAGACTGGCTAGAGAGGCTCTCATGTTGGCAATGAGGCCGAGGCGGGGAGGGGGGCCATGTCACCCTCTGCCCCTCCTCCACAGTCCGCCTGTGGGAACCAGAGGCTCAGCCAGGGCACAAACCTCTGGAGGACGTGGCACCAGCTGCAGTTGAAGGGCAGGTCTGAGGACACGCAGGTGTCACAGCTTCGATGCTGCAGGCAGGCTGCGAGAGAGAAGGTGGCAGTCCCTCAGACCCTCCGTGGACCTCCAGGGACCTCCAAAAGGCACAGCTCTCCCCAGTGCTGGGCCCTTACAGAACTCCGGAGTCTCTGACTAGCAGGGACCCCGGAGGTCATTAATGCCACCCTCACTTGAGTCCAGCCCTAGATTCTTCCATCTCTTCCTCCCCCCACTTTCCTCCTTCCTCCTTCCGTCCCCAGGGGGTCAGGCCCTGAGCTGGTGCTGGGGATTGCGCAGTAAATCCCAGTGCCTGCCTTCTTGGGCCTTACAGTCCTATGGGCAGACAGACACTAAACAGATCATCAAGCAAACATAACCACGTAATTATCGTTGTGATGAGGCTTGTGAAGGAAAATTACAGGGGCCTCGAAGCATGGACAAAGGGATCTCACCTAGCCCGGGAAGTTATACTGCTGGGCTATTGCCCACAATTACAGGCTTGAGAAGGATACTTTGTCTTAATTGAGATATTTCGGACATATAACACTGTATATGTTTAAGGTGTATGACATTGATTTGACACCTTTATATCGCAATAGAATTGCCATTATAGGGGGCGCCTGGGTGGCTCAGTTGGTTAAGCGACTGCCTTCGGCTCAGGTCATGATCCTGGAGTCCCTGGATCGAGTCCCGCATCAGGCTCCCTGCTCTGCGGGAAGTCTGCTTCTCCCTCTGACCCTCCCCCCTCTCATGTGCTCTCTCTCATTCTCTCTCTCTCAAATAAATAAATAAAATCTTTAAAAAAAAAAAAGAATTGCCATTATAGGGTTAGCTACGCTACTATGTCACATGATTACTGTTTCCTCTCCTGACAGGAACAAGAGCTAGTCTTCTAATAAGTTTAATGTTTATAATACACTTGTTGGCTATAATCACAGAAAAGGATGTTTAAGATGTTCTGGCTTGCCCCCCAGCCAGTGCTAGCTGGGAGCACTCATTCGGTCCCTGTGGGGGGATTGGTGCCAGGATCGTCCCCTGGCCTGTCTCTGCCTCCTCATTCACCTCCCAGGGAAGCCTGAGCACTGGTCCGTGGGGGTAAACCAGGCATTCATAATCGCATCCCTTTCTTCTCCCTCTCCACTTGGAAGTGAGCTACCCCAGGGAGTATATGGGTGTCTCTGCTCACTTGGGTTTACATCTCGCTTGGGGAGTTGCTGACCCCTGTTGTGCCTCAGTTCCTCCTTTGCAAAAGAGGGATCCTGATGCTCTCTGCTGGGCAGACGTGCAGTGAGGAGGAGATGAGGTGACACCAAGCGAGGGTCTGTATGAGTGCTGGCCATGCGGCGAGCCCTGCGAATGCTGCTTGTGATTGACTGTGGTCTTACTCATTCCCCTCAATGTACCGACCAGGTATTCGTCTACTTGTTCATTCATGCTTGCATTCATTCCTCTTTGTTTTTTAAAGATTTATTTATTTGAGAGAGAGAGAGAGAGAGAGGGCACGCGTGAGCATGAGGAGGGGCAGAAGGAGAGGGAGAGAGAAAATCCTCAAACAGACTTCAAGCTGAGTGCAGAGCCTGCCACGGGGTTCGACCCCAGGACCCCAAGAGCATGACCTGAGCCGAAACCAAGAGTGGGATGCTTAACCGACTGCACCACCCAGGCGCCCTGAGGCAATCTTTCAACAACTATGTATTGAGCACCTGCCACAGACCCTGTCCCAGCTGCTGGAGATACAGTGGTGAACAGGGAAAGACAGACAGACGCACTGCCTGCCCGGAGCCTGGAGTCTAGAGCAGGAGACGGCCTACAGTACACAGACAGCGAAGTCTGCACTAGGGCTTCTGGCAGTGGGCTGTGAAAAATAGCGGTGCACAACAGGGAGACGGGAAGGTTGGCGAGGGCCTCTGAGGAGAGGTCATTTGGGCAGAGATTGGGAGAAAGGAGGAAGCAAGCCTGGCGGCTCTCCTGGAGGAGGAGAAGTCCAAGCAGAAAAGCCCCTGCGCGCAGAGGCCCAGGAGGAGCCCATTTCAGCCGTGTTCCCAGCAGCAACCAGAACGCTAACGGGCTGGGCAGAGTGGACAAGCTGAGGGTGACAGGAACGAGGAGGAACAACAGCTGGGGTCTGGCCCGGGGCAGGGCAGGGCCCGAGAGCAGGGGAGTTGGTGGGAGCGGGCTGCTGGATGGTGCGCGGACCCCTCTGGCGCCAGCCAAGCCCGGGAGCAGAGAGGCCGGGGCGGGGGCGGGGGCGGGGGGGGGGTGCGGGAGGCAGGAGGTATGGGGGCTGGATTTTAAGCATTGTTCGCTTGCAATTGAGCGCTACTCTGAAGAGAACCAGAATGACCTCTGGGTGGCAAGCAGCTGCCACAAACCTGTGCGTTTTAACCCAAGGAGACGCAGGCCCTCACCCAGAATAAGCATGTGCAGTAGAAGGGTTCCTCTGATGAGCAGCTGAATGGAACAGAAGACACCGCTAGCAGCAGAAGTGACAACTGACTCAGAAAAATAACCACTCGTTCAATAGCCATCACACACATTTCCTCGCTATGTGAGTCTTCCCGGGACTCTACTGCAATCCATTAATGAGGGAGCCAGTTTGCATTCCATGCACCCCCAGCAAGATGGCAGCTGGGAACCAGCCGTGGGGGGGTGGGAGCAAAGCTGTTGTGGGCACAGCGTGTCACCTTCAGTCACTGTGGGAGCGACTGGCTGTAGGTGGCACTGTATCCTTTCAATAGAATGGAGCTCTCCGGCTGTTTTGTCCCCTGCTGTATCCAGACGTTCTAGAACAGCACCCCATCACAAGCCCGTGGTAAGCAGTTGACCAACGTTTATGGAATTGGTCCCTGGGTGGTTTTGTTATCCCCATTTTACAAGGGAGGGAACTGAGGCTTAGAGATAGTCTTGGAGCTAGGAGTGGTGGTCTGGGCTTGCACTGAGGTCTGTGGGAGCCAAAAGCCTGAGCGCTTAGCCTTGAGGTCCCACGGGTGGGCTTCCCTGCTTCAGCTCCCACTCTCAGCCTTTCATGAGTGTCTTCTAGAAGAGGGACCCGGACGAACCTGCCACAGAGTATAATGGCTTGGAGATAGCCCATCCGCACCTCTGGACCAATCTTGGCTAAGTCCTCTCCCACCCAAAGGTAAGAGAGAAATCCTGCACTGGGGGATGCTGAGTTTTCTCAGGACCAAGTTAACCGGCCTTCCAGGGGCTCAAATCCTAGCCCTGGCAGCACTGCCCCCTGCCCCACCAGCCACACCCACAGGGGCCCCCACATGGGATCCCATGGCCTGCTCATTCCCAGTGGCTCCGGAGGCCCCTTAGAAGGCTCCAGGCAAACCGGCCATGAGAAAAAAGCCTGGGAGCCTCCGTGGGGTATGCGTACAACCCACTGACCTTTATTTCTCATCTGCATTTCAGACGTCCTGCGAGCTATTAAACGCTCACCAAATTCACTGGAGGGGTGGGAAGTGGCTGAAATGTACAGACAGTGACCCAGAAATGATTCCCAGGATGCTTCACTTCCGCCCAGGCAGTTACCCTGCCCTTGGATGTCCTTGCTCCCAAGTGCAGTTTATTCAAGTCCTAGGACTTGAGGTTTGCCCTCGGCAGTCCTTGAGGAACCCCTGCTTCTCAGGCCCCAGGTCTCTCCTGCCTAAGAGAGCGGGCAGCTGCGGTGGGGGTGGGGCTGTGATCTGCAAGGGGTCCTAATCCTGCGACCCCATGATGTCTGTGGCCTTCCTCTTTCCCAGGGGAAGACACCTGCTGAGCCCTGCAGAGACAGGCCTAGTGTTCAAGAACTTTCCTCCTCCCCTTCTTCTTTCTCCACCCCCCTGCTCCCAGAACCCCCAGGGAAGAGGAAGCAGGGGAAGGCAAGGCAAGAAAGGCCCCAGAAAGCAGGGAGAAGGCCATTGCTTCAGAGGGAAACTAGCAGGTACTGTGAGACAGGAGAGGAAATTAAAACTCTCTTTCAAAAATGCAAGAACGGGGCGCCTGGGTGGCTCAGTTGGTTAAGCGACTGCCTTCAGCTCGGGTCATGATCCCAGGGTCCTGGGATTGAGCCCCGCATCGGGCTCCCTGCTCAGCGGGAAGCCTGCTTCTCCCTCTCCCACTCCCCCTGCTTGTGTTCCCCCTCATGCTGTCTCTCTCTCTCTCTCTCTGTCAATTAAATAAATAAATAAAATCTTAAAAAAAAAAAAAAAAAAAAACGCAAGAACAGGGGCGCCTGGCTGGCTCAGTCTGGAGAGCATGTGACTCTTGATCTCAGGGTCATGAGTTTGAGTCCCACGATGGGTGTAGAGATTACTTAAATAAATAAATAAACTTTAAAAAATAAAAAGAAAGTAAAAATGCCAGAACAGGAGTCCTGTCCTCTCCCTCGCTCTCCCCAGCTGCCCTGACCATATCCTGAAGAGCATCCAACCCCGGTCCGGTGGGGTCCACGGCAGTAGCTGGAGCCTTGGCCATGGACATATGGCCTCAACTGCAGGTGAGTGGGGCACGGGGGAGGGCCGAGCCATGGGTCTTGGAGGACTGCTGGCTAAATCCCTTTATTGCCTCCTGCCTGTGGACTCCAGCATTACTCCTCCTCTAAGGAAAATGCAACAAGAAATGTAATGACCGAAGGGGCACCTGGGGGCTCAGTCGGTTGAGGGTCTGCCTTCGGCTCAGGTCATGATCCGGGGATTGAGCCCTGGCATCTCAGGCTCTCTGCTCAGTGGGGAGTCTGCGTCTCCCTCTCTCTCTGCCCCTCCCCCAACTTGCACACACTCTCTCTCTCTCTCTCTTGCTCACTCTCTAATAAATAAATAAAATCTTAAAAAAAAAAAAAAAGAAATGTAAGGACCGATTCATTCAGTTCCTGGATTACCTTTCCTGGGGGCTCAGTCTAAAAATTCTCAGGGGTGGGGCGCCTGGGTGGCTCAGTCGTTAAGCGCCTGCCTTCGGCTCAGGTCATGATCCCAGCGTTCTGGGATCGAGCCCCGCATCGGGCTCCCCGCTCGGCGGGAAGCCTGCCTCTCCCCCCTCCACTCCCCCTGCTTGTGTTCCTCTCTCACTGTGTCTCTCTCTGTCAAATAAATAAATAAAATCTTTAAAAAAAAAAAAAAATTCTCAGGGGTACACCTTTCCTGGGTCTTAATTGTGTGTCAATAACCATAGCTGTCATGTATCAAGTACAAACCACGACCCAGGCCCGGGATATGCCAGTTAGTGTCAGAGCTGACATTTGTCCTCAACTCTACCTACCCTGCTTCTGACCCTTACCATAGCTCTGGGACGGAAGTGGGGTTAGGCCCATGTGACAAATGAGAAATGGCAGCCCAGAGAAATTAGGCAGCCATACCCACACAGGGGTCAGTGGTGGGCCTGGGAATGGAACCCAGATTGTTTGACTATGAAGCTCTTTCCAGGACAGTGGAATGCCCTCCCTTGGTGGGGACGACCCCTACTCACTGGGCAGTGGGGTGAACTCCACAGCTGATGTGCTGGTGACCTTGCTGGGATCCAGCTCCACACGATGGTATTCAAAGATGGTCCTTCGCCGAGATTCTGAAACAGAGGCAGAGCATCTCATGGCCAGAGGCCTTCGAGGCTTGTACCTGGAGCCTGATAGGTGACCTTGCTGGGATCCAGCTCCACACGGTGGTTTTCAAAGATGGTCCTTCACCGAGATTCTGAAACAGAGGCAGAGCATCTCATGGCCAGAGGCCTTCGAGACTTGTACCTAGAGCCTGATAGGTGGGCAAGAGATTGCAGCAAGTGGATCGGGGAGTCAGGACGCAGCCACTGGGGGCAGGAAGAAACTCATCAACCTGGGACAATGATCTTGAAGCTACAGAGAGACAGGACAGGAGTTGACCCTGAGAGAAGAGCTTTGTATTGTCAACAGGTCAAACTACTCCACACAGAGGCCTGGCTGCCCCTGAGGTCAAGACATAGGAGCTCCCATGCTTCTGCATGGCTCTGTGTCTTCACAGCTGCTGTTCCCTTGACCCATAATGTTCTTCCATCCCTTCTCTCCTTGTCTAGCTCATCCTTTCAGATCCAGCTCAGAGCTACTTCCTCTGAGCAGCCTTCCTTCGCCAGCTCCCTCCTCTTCTTTACCCAGGCCAGGCACCCTGCTCCCACTGCACTCCCCATATGTGGGGTCATTAGGGTCTATTTAGGGCCATTAGACTGTGAGCATCTGGTCCTGAACCTGACCCACAGTGAGCACTCTGCAAATGTCTGCGGATGCACAGGCTGAACTTGGAGAACCTCTCCTGTCCTGGATGGAAGCCAGAGCGAGCTTCAGGGCCAGGCAGCCAGGGGCTGGGCTTATGTTCTGCCTCAGTCCCTGCAGTAACTCCCTTGCAGTACGTCGGTGTCAAAAGACTTGAGTTCTGATTCGAGTTCTGCTCCCAATCTTAGGGCCTCAGTTTCTTGTCTGTGATGTGGAAAGACAGAAACACCTGCTACAACACACTTGGGAGGAAAAAAGTGGAATTGTAGATGAAAAGACTTCTCCTAAAATGACAATCTGAGATGCTTTGATACATCCCACTGTATACCCACACCCACCCGAGGACCGTGATTTGGGCGGGGCGGGGTGGGGGGGGTTCCTTAGGCTCTGAAAGGCCAGCAGCCAGCCTCCGAGCTTTGTGAATGAATTTCCCTACAAGGGGAAGGAGTCTTGTAGCGTTCAGCCTGCCCAGCACCACTTCTTCCTTTTGGAAACAGCACTCCCTTTGGGGAACTACCCCGAGTCCATTCCTACACGTGAGCTGCACCGGAGCTACCATCTTTCTTCATGAGCCTTCCTCCCTGGCTGCACAG